TTTGGGCAAGGACACAGGGGCCCCATGATCCCCTATTGCCTGGGGGCCCCATGAGTTGTCAGTCCGCCTCTGCTGTGTACTGTTTAATTTGATACAAAATCTAATAAAGACACACACACACACACACACACACACACACACACACACCTATCCCTCAAGGGGTGTACAATCTAAGGTCCCTAACTCACATTCATACATACACATACTAGGGCCAATTTAAAGAGGATCCAATTAACCTACCAGCATGTCTTTGGAGTTGTGAGAGGAAACCAGAGTACCCGGAGGAAACCCACACAAGCACAGGGAGAACATGCAAACTCCAGGCAGGTGGTGCAGTGGTTGGGATCTGAATCAACGACCCTAGTACCGCCAGGCGGAAGTGCTAACCATTTAGCCACTGTGCTGCTCATAAATCAAAACATAAAATACTAATCAACAGAAATCACATTTACCTAGTCTAAAGAAACAATGCAGTGTTTTCTTTCTTTCTTTTTTTTTTTTTTTTTTACCTTTACAAACACTTTAAATTGCCCTGATTTTTGTAAAATGTGCTCTGTCCTCTTTATTTAAGTCAAGTCCCCTGCATGTTCCCCATACCATCCACTGCCTGGTCTACCTTTTTACTAGTTATTAACCACAAGTTGACATAACCATACCACCGATATCTAACACAGCTATAAAGAATATCTGGGATTGGTTGTTGGCAGGGTTGCATACCATGTGTGTGTATATGTGTGTGTGTGTATATATATGTGTGTGTGTGTATATATGTATGTGCGTGTGTGTGTGTGTGTGTGTGTGTGTGTATATATATATATATATATATATATATATATTATTTTTTTTTTTTTTTTTTTGGTAGTTGGCTTTTGCTATCTTGAATGTACGAAGTGCAGACTGACATATCCATAGGTTATTACCTATAGTAGACAGAACATGCAGTTTGAAAATATGTGCCTTTTTTTTCTCACCAACCCCTAGGTCACAACTATGTCTGCCTTGTAGTGTCATAAGGGTTGATGGGAGTAATCACTAAGTTCAGCTAGGATCAAGAATCTGACACCTCAAAAAGCGTCATTTACTCAACAGACTTTAGAAAACTGTTCCTCTTCAGTGGTGTGGCATTCATTGGTGTAGGCAGTGGGAGAGATTTGCTGGGACATCTTTTTGTAAATTTTTTTTCCTTGTCATGAAGTAGCTTTAAAGAAGTGGTAAACTGCCATATAAAAAAATCAGGCCCCTTCAGGTTTAAGTCCTAATGTACAAGTATGCACCTCATACTACCACATTATGACATACTTACCTGGACACACTTACCTGGAGTGCTGTCACAGCTCCTGAGGGCATCCATCTTCACCCGGTTTTCCTTCTGAGTTCACAGACTCCGGCTGTAGGAATGGCCGGGGCTGCAATGACGTTACTCACTCCTGAAGGAGCCGCACAGGTATGCTGTCCCTTCAGAGCACATGCACTGGTGACGTCACCGGCAGCATGCTGTGTGAAATATCTTTTAAACAGTGCAAAACAGTTTAGGAGATATTCACTGTACCTTATTATAGGCTTATCTGTAGCTACAAGTTAAAAAAAGTGGACTTTACTTCTACTTTAGGTAGCCCTCAATTCCGTTTTCCTACCACAGACTTACTAATGTGCACACATATAAGGGGCAGTCTAAGCTACCAGCCTGTATTTAGATTATAGGAAGAATCTAAGAACAAATAGGAAACCCAAAAAATGTGGGGAAAAAAAAAAACAAAAAAATGTAATATAGAATTTCTTTGTTGAAGCTCAATATATATACAGTTTTAAAAAAATGTAAACCACAGACTTTGCATGTTTATGTAGGATGAGTTGCATCAATCATTTTGTCTTTTCACACATAGTAAACCTAACATACACAAGTAATATGAAATCATGGCGTTCTATGTAATGCATTTTGTTACACTATTTACTACATGCAGGACACTGATTGGTAAAAATGTTATAAATATATGGGTAAAAAGTTCCTACCTGACCCTGCTGGCATCCAGTGCAAAAATGACCAATGAATACACAGAGCATCAGTGTGGCATTGCTGAGCCCAGCTTTTCTTCTGTGGATCTAGGATAAAACTGGAGAAGGAAGGTTAACAAACACTGAGGATAACAGACAGCTGAAATGCAAATTGCATGTCGAATGCAAAGTTTCTATAATGCAAATGACAAATACAGTTTTCAAATTCTATAACGACTGTAAATCTTGTTCAGAATTAGGTGGGTTTGACCCAGTTGGGCATATATAGGCCTTCACTGTATTTTTTTTTTTAACCGTTACACTTACTGAAATTGTACAAAGGTACAAACAATCTGTGGTACATGAAACCAAATCAAGCATGTAATATACAGTAAATAAGCAGTATACACCAGTGTTCCAAAACTGAAGAATCTCACAGTATCATCCTGTTAGCCTGAGCAGACTCAAAAAGCACGTACTTAGTATGGTCCTAATGCTAATATCCCTCTAGGGAAAGGAATTGAGAGGGAAATCAAAGAGCGTGAGAAAAGTAAGGAGGGGAGAGGAGTGGGAAGGGTAAGATAGGGGAGAGAAAGAAAAGGGAGGAAAGAGGATAAAAGAGGAAAGTAGACAGCACAAGTAGTATTGTATTGTTTGGGTATTGCAAACATTTGATGACAATGAACTGGAAATGTCATAACCTATATTGTAATGCCCTGTGCCTCCTCCCACCCAGCCCAGATTTGATCAAATTTTGCAGGGCATCTGCGACTCATATACGTAGATTTATGTAAAGGAAGCGCACCATTGATTGCTGCCTTTCAACCAGAGACCGTGGGTGGGGTGGACAGCTTCTATCTCAACAAAATTTCCCTTCTAGCATAATCTAAACAAAACAAGACAAACCATTTGCTATGCTTAGATGCCTCTACAAGATCGGTAAGGCCCAACAACATTATCAGCAGATCCATTGGAACAGATAGGTTGCCAACAGCGTTAATAGTGTCTAGTACCCCGGTTCAAAAAGGGCATAGCTTCGTATATTCCCAAAACATATGGTTAAACGTGCCCACAGCCATATCACAGTGAGGACATGTTGCCGATCTACCAGGATATATCAGTCGTCGAGGGGTGTAATATACTCTATGGATAAATTTCAGTTGTATAAAAACGATCCCTGGCTGAGATCATAGTAGGGAGACATTGCAAAAGGCAATCCTCCCAATCATACTTTGTCAGGGATGTTTAGTCTGCGTGCCATTTACTATAAAGTGACTGCATTCTAGGGATGGTCAGAGGAGATAGCAGGGAGTGAAGAGAGCATAAGGGTTTAGGCAAGTCCTCCTCTATCAACAAAACTTTCCAAAAGATCAGTCTGTATGACAGGGGAAGAAGGGAATTGGGCAGTAATCACATGTCGCAGTTGTAAAAACTGGAAGAGCATCTGGTTAGGCAAACCATAGTTGTGTTTGAGTTTGTCAAAAGAAAAAAAAGACACCGCGAGGCTTAATATGTGGTAATATTTTAAAGCCATAACGAGCCCACACCACAGGGATCCGGTATCGTGTGCAGGTGAGGGAGTGTAGGGTTGCCCCAGAGTGGTGTGTAAGGGGAGTAGGTGTTTCTTTACACCATTTTGAACCCTAGCCTGTCTCCATACTGCCAGGGTTGTCTGCATGGCCTGGTTGGACTTCGAGCCCCTATAAACAAGGTTGCTGAGGCCTGCATAAGAGCCCAGTATTGCCACTTCCAGGAACACCGCTGCATTATCCCTAGATGGGGAGAACCACCAGCGCACCGTAACCAAGACAGTCACCCAATAGTATAGAAGTAGCCTAGGCAGTGCCAGGCCCTGTATTTTATGTCACTTGACATTTCCCTAAGGCTGAATTCATACCTGAGAAAAACGATTTCCAAACATTTTTATATGAGTGTGTTAGAAGTGTGTTTTTAAATGTGTATTCAAAATGGCCAAGGGGGAGGAGACCATTTAGAGCCTTAAAAAACCCTTGAAATACGCATTTAAAAAAAAAAAACTTGATTCAAACATTTACAGATGTTTCCATTGAAGTTTATGGAGCCAAAAATGCCCAAATCTGCCTCAAAAATAGCTCATGTAGCTTTTGGTGTGTCAAACACTGTGGGATTTATTTACTAAAACTGGTCCACTGAGAATCTGGTGCAGTTCTGCATAGAAAACAATCAGCTGCCAGATTTTATGGCTAAGTCCTCATGCACACTGGATGTTTTTACAGCGGCTGTTTTTTTCCTTTTGATGGTTTTTTTTTTCCTACAGCCAGTAAACTCCCCAGCATGTTATCCTATGTGTCCATGCACACATAGACTGTAATCAACGTTTTCTGACAGGAAGGTTTTTTTGGCTAGAAAAAAAAACCCAGGACTAGATTTCTAGAGGAGCTTTTTAGCTGTAAAAACACTCTAATGCTGAAAAACGTGGTAAAATGCCACAAACTGCCATTTTTGGAGCAAAAAAAATTTTTAATAAAAAAAGCGCTAAAAAACGCAATCGTGGCTAAACGCTAATGCAAAAACCCTAAAAAACTCACATTTTTTAATGTGACTTTACACAGCTAACGTTAACAGTGTTATCAAAACATCCCGTGTGCATGGAGACTAACTAAAGCTTAACCTTCCTAGCGGTCTGATTACGTCCATATTTCTGTGCTCAAAGCGGTACATTTATCTGTATGGAAATATGTTTTTTTTTTTTTATTGTAGGCCTGTAATTTTTAGGAATAACTCACTGAAATCTGTCCGAACAAGAGTCTAGTAAACATCCCGGATAGGATAAAACTTGAAACAGGAAATCATAAATTATAATTTAATAATCATAAAAAATAATATAATAATAAATTTAATTCAATAATATGATCAAACCAAAAACACTGAAATTTGAAATATAGCGCCAAGTTCGCATATCACTGAGCAAAGTCGCAAAATCGTTTTCAGTGTCTGATGACGATTTTCCCCACGAATCAATATCACTCAATTCTGCAAGTGGTTCTAATTTACTATCGCTGTTCTCTAGCTGGTCTAAAACTGCTTTTGACCTAAAGGGACACTTTTTGGACACCATGGACGTTTCTCAGTTTCCAGGCAGAAAGAACAGTAAAAATGCAGGCAGGGCACAGGACAAAGCACTAGGGACAAAATGTATGTGAAATGGTTTGATACAGTAATGTTTCACTATGTGATTTTAGTGAATGTCACTTTGTCATTTTAAAATTTCCCGCCGTTCCGTCCCCCCCGTACGTTCCGACACTCGGGGGGGACATTGCCGGGGACACTGCAGGAGGGACATCGCGGGAGCGCAGGACAAGGTAAGTGATCGAGGGATCCCAGAGCAGCGCTGCATGGTAAGCCCGAGTGTAGCTCGGGTTTACCTCTTGTGGTACTGAAACTTTACCCCGAGCTACACTCGGGAATACCACCAGAGTGGTTAATTGAACAAGCTGAAGTTAGAAGCTAATTGGCTACCGTGCACAGCTGCACCAGATTCTGCGTGAACCAGCTTTAGTAAATAAAACCCCAAGTTCCTGAGTGCTATATGTGAAAAGGCCACCATTAATACATGGTTTTTGTTTGAGGGTTTTGGAGCTTTGAGGTGTGAATGGGATCTAAGATGTAATTAGTAGACCGCTGGCAGAGTTTCAGTTTTGGAGGGTTCCTGCAGTCTAATTTACTTCTGGAAATTGTGATCCTCATGTGAGAAATCCTAGTATCAAAGGAAAGTTGGAAAACTTATTGTGTGGACAGTGATGCACATTCTGATTTTACCATGTATGTCCTGCTACAGTTGGCAACCTCATGGGCAATGCCAGGCTCAAACACAGCCACTTTGCTATCTGCTCTCTTTTGCAGAACTAGCGGACAAACTGCAAACTCCTGTCCTATCAGCTTCTGGGATGAACAACAACTCTGTGTTTTTCCATCTACTTCCTCTTACAAAGGCTCTGGGAAATCAAGTTCTAGTCTCCTTGGAAGTCTGGCCACCAGATAACTGACATGTGCAGCCTCTGCTCAGAGATGTATGACCAATTAGCAATGCATAGGATATGCAATGAAGAAATATTCTAGCATTAAACAGAAAAAGTCTGTATTTAACAAGGGGTTCCATGTACAGGTATTAGCTCTCCTAGAAGCCTGATCTCCTGGCAGCAGCGTTTTGGTGGAAAAACACCTGAAGCTTGTAAAAGTGTGTAAGACATTTAGGCGCGTCAAGCGTTGGGAGTTAATTTCATTGGCCAGAATAATTTATTCTGCCCTTTTGAAATGAATTAACAATCAAGCACTAAACACACCTAGAGTTAACTTGCATTTAGATGTGTTTACTAGCATTTGCATGCGTTTGAATGTGCCAAGCATTTTTTCTGCCAAAACTGCTGCTCCTGAATGCACTGGCAGTGAGTTTTTCTTTTCCTGCCTCTAAATGCTTGTGACGTTAAACTCCTCTAAGGCTACGTTCATTCCTATGCGTTTGATCCATTCCTGCAGTGCATTTTGTGGTGTGTTTTTGCACATGCATTTCTGATGCATTTGTTTTCAACTTTTTGCTGGACAGAATAAAACACATAAAAAATGCATTACATGCTTTTCTGCAGCGTCTCCATTTGAAGTCTATAGAACCAAAAACACAATGTTTTGCATTTAAAAAAAGTCCCTTTTTCTAAAAAAACGCACTGGGTGAAAACGTGGAGATGTGAACCTGTCCCATAGGAAATCGCGTTCAATGGACTGCTGTGCGTTTCTGAAAAACGCAGAGGAAAATGCATTGGTGTGAACCTAGACTTAATGGTTGTATGCATGGACATTTTTTTTTTTTTTTTTTGTAAGTTTACTGCTTTTTTTTAAAAACTGCTATACTTGGGCCTTATGCACAGTGGCTTTTTCTCCTAGATGCCTTTTTTTCCTGGCAGTGGTGTTTTGGCAGAAAAAAACCAGTATTTGTGAATGGGTGTAACACGTTTAGGCACATCAAGTGCTCAGGTGGTAATGTGTTTCATTGTCCAGAATAAATGCTTAAATTCTAAATGCATCTAATGCTTAGGCATTTTTAGATGCTTTTACATGTTTAGGCACGTCAAATGTTTTTTTCTTTCTTCCCCTGGATGCGCTGGCAGTGGGTTTCTTTTTCTGTCTCTAAACTCCTCTAAATGTTAATGTGTGCATGGACGCATAGTTTAATATGTAGAGGCAGGAGAAAACATGGCAGATGCCTCTAGAATGAGCTGTAAACATTTCCATTGTGCACGGGACCTTAAACGTCACTTTTTTTTTTTTTTTAAGTTTAGGATAGAGTGAGGAAAGGTTAAAGCCTCTGCTGGGCTATTTTTTTTTGCTGTTTTTGTACAGCAGAGGAAATTTCTCCCCAGCGGAGACATGGTAATAAAATCTTGACAAGAAAATAGTTAGGAGGTGCACTTTAATACAGGTTAGCAATATAGATATATATTAAATATTATTTGGCAGATATTTCTAACATCTAGCATTGTGATGGTTGTGGGACAATTTAAGTAAACTGTACATTTATCATCTTTAGTTTGCTCTTCATAATATACAGTACAAAAAGTTTTTTGTAAAAATGTCATTGTTAACATCAATTTTTCTTGCAAAGTTCTGAAAGATCTCCCGTTTGCAGTAATACCCGGTACTTTATTTTCACTGTCTTTTTTTTTTCTTCTAGGGTACCATGACCAAAATGGAGGGTAAAACTTCACTTCTAGACAACATGATAGGTGTGGGTGATATGGTGCTTTTAGAACCTCTCAATGAAGACAGTTTTATCGACAATCTCAAAAAACGCTTTGATCACAGTGAAATCTATGTGAGTATTTATATATGCTTTTGTTTGAAATTGCCTAATATAAAATGAATAAAATTGACCGCAACAGGTGTGAAAACTAGGGATGAGCTTGTGTTTGTTCCAAATGGATTAAAATCCCAAACCTGTAAATCATTTTGTCATTCCTGGGCCAATGTCCTGTGCGAGGGGGATTCTCCACCCTGCAGACGTATTCAAAGGGGCGCTGAGGCTTGTGACATCATTGACCCAATATGGCCACATTAGATCGGTGTCCTACTTCTCTGACTTGATAAAGCTTTACAGTGGTCAGTTAGTCTGCAGTCATCATTCTCACTTGCATACAGCTCCAAGTTTATATATATTTATTTATTTTCTCACTAACCTTCACAGCAGAGCCTTTATTCTCATTCTCATTTGTATAGGTGTGTTAACCCATGTAAAGCTTTGCCTTTATACTAACCACAAAAAGGAACATTTTGGTTTCTTATCATACCAGGCTTCAGAGTCTGACTTTTAGACTTTTGTTTAATTGTTCCCACAGAAGCGTAGTTAAAGTGGCTCTAAAGTCAAACGTTTTTTTTTCATGCAGTCTACGTATTACCCTTTGCTGACCATGCTATAGCCAAATGACGGCTACAGTGGGGTTGTCCCACAGCTCCCTGTGATTGCTGTGCCCAATTACAGGTGATCACGATATAAACACACTTGTCGGTTATCGGCACAGCGCGAGGAAAGTATTGCTGATAACTGGCAAGTGTGAAAGAAGACATATACACTGATATTCAGGGCACTGATTATCAGTGCAGCCCCAACAGTGCCCAGCAGTGCTGACAGTCTGTGCCACCTATCAATGCAGCCTCATAAGTGCCAATCAGTGCAGCCTCAACAACGCACATCAGTGAAGAAGAAAAACGACCTGTGTGCAAAATTTTATATTAGAAAGCTGAAAATTGGGTTGGGCAGGAAGAAAATAAAAGTGCCCAGTAGGTAAGTGGTTAAGGTAAAAAAAAAAAAACAAAAACTTCCACTGACTGTGCCTCAATACCCCCCCTCCCCCCCAAACACTTACCGTACACCTAAAACGTCAAAGTGCAGCGCTTAAAAAAGTAAATAAGTGATAAACAGTAATAAAGAGTCAATAAAGCATCCACAATGTTTCACTGGAGAAATGCGAACTTCCACGGCCTTTTACTCCTTCAAATAACAGAAATGCGCACTCACCAGAAAACGCATGGATTTGCGCATATACAATCAGACATCCCAGGTGATAGGAACATCAAAGGTTAGGCAGCAGGCATTTTCCTCATGATGGGTCATCACAGACTCCTGGGTCAGGTCCAGAGGTTCCCCTAAGGTCAGCCAGGCACTCCACACAAAAGCTCCTCTTAAGATGGCAGTGTGCTCTCTCTGTGGGAATGATAGCTCCACATAGGAGCCCCAGAAAACAGATGCCAGAGATAGTGTAGTACTTCCCAAAAACTTTTTATTCATGTAAAACGCATAACAGGGCAGTGTGCATAATCAGTTTCATATGTGAATAGAAAAAGCAGCAGTACTGACCCCAATAAAAATGGCCGCCGGCCTCCTCGTGGCTCCGGCGGTGATATGACGTCACGCTCTGCACAGCTCCTCCTTAGGCCTTTCGTGCTACAGGCACATCATCAGAGGGGAGACTGCACAGAAGCGTGACCGACGTCAGTGAAGATATAAGAAAACCGGCACATGCGCAGTTGGTCGCGGTCATATTCCCGGAGACAACAAGAACTGCGCATGCGCGAGCGCGGCAGCGCCATTTTGCCGTGGATCCACAGTCAGATACATAGCAGGGAAGAGACAGAGAGATGTCTCATTGCACAACCCTTCGGTGATGATTATCTACTATGCCGCAGACCCCAGGGATTTCTAATAAGCACTATGCTCCCAAATAAAGTGACAGTGCAAATTACAGTAATAATAACTGTGCACATATTGATATATGGGATATAAGAGTCCCTTTAGTGAATGGCTTATGGTTGCAGTAACGGACCACGGCAAGATGTAAACATAAAAAATATTTTAAAAGTGTGTCACAAATGTCATAATGACTCACAAAATAATTAAATGCAAACAGTAGAACAATAAAAAGTCGAACCTATGCAACGGATGACATATCTGATCTGAAATTGTCAGACCACATCCAGATAAGTGTAGTAAATATGTATATACCCCAAAAAGTATAGTAGATGAAAGCAGACAAAAGGATAAAAAGAGGTAAAAAAACCCAAATAGGGTTGAATGAATAGACAATTTAAAATAACCCATTAAAATAATGTACAATCACAATAGTTCCTCTATTAATCCCCACATCAATGATGCAAACGGGGTAAGGGAAAACCATCAGACATACATGAACTAATAATTAATTGATCCATAATCATTAGTAAAAAGTGAAATCTAAAAAGGCATAAAAGTATGTTATTAATAAAACATCATACTGATGAAAAAATACCCCACATAATAATAGTATGAGCAA